GGGGAGGGTGAGGGGCGAGGCGCGGGCGCCCCCAGCGGTGAGGGCGGCGAATGGACAAAGACCAGGACGCGGGTTCGGTTTGTCCCAGAACAGCGTTTAATGCACGTACAGGACAGTCAGGGAGTCACACTGAGCATCGTTATGAACCAGCCCCATCCCTGACAGCCCCAGGCAGGCGCGTTGCCCTCGCCCAACGGGCACAGGGGCCCGGGGAGGGGTTTCTACAGAACCCGAGCTGTAAAACTAGAGAAAAGAGCTTGTAATCAAAGCCGGCACGTGCTTCCAGAGACAGGTAGACAGATCGTAAAAAGGCAGTAAGAACAAGTTCAGTGCAAAGTTCGAGGTTAGTAGAGAAAAGGAAGAGGGCTTGGCGCCAGCGGTTACTGGAAATACCCAAACACGGTCCCGAGGGACAGGGACAGTGCTGGCTGCAGGGCAGACAGTGCGGAAAATATTTATTTTCATTAAACAAGATAGAAAAAGCTGTTAAAATTACATTTTCAAGCTACTTAGTGTACTGGTAAATTCCATCCCCAATGAATATTCTCCTCTTTCACAGACTTTTTTTTTTTTTAAATGTCTTATTGCAACAATCACATTTTTCTGAGCTGACAATAGTGCAAAGAGGTGCAAGCTTGGGGCTCTTCCCCTACAAGAGAGGCCAAGGCCAGATCCCACAGACAAAATAAAATCAACGACCAGAAAAAGCTTCAGCCAGTGACTACTTTGAAAAGGAAGGGAAAGGCACAAAACGAGTAAAGCTATGAAGAAGATTAAAGCAGAAGTCAGGACGAATAACAACAATACAGTACTATACATTTTTTTGAGAGTCCGGACAACTGTTTAAAACTGCAAATCATTTTTTAATGATTTTAGTTTATTTGTATTTTGTGCTGTAAGACACTGTGCTTTAACAGCAAACTGCAAAAAAGGCAGTACATATTGCTTTCATTTTATTTCACAATAGAACGTTTCACAAAAACAGTAGTCTACTTTCCTGTGTTTAAGTGACTTGTGATTCTAATGATGGAATGGAGTAAGTCTCAAAAGCATCAAGTGAGCAGGAAATATATCTAGTTAGTTATATAGTTTATTATTTACAGGCTATATACTAAAAGAAAAATACGTAGAAGATGGCTAATAAAACTGGGATTTGGGATTCATTAGCGCCCATTAGTATTAACCCAGTTTCTAACATTCAAGATATTCTTAGCTTTTTAATTGTAATAGTTCCTACGACATTGGACCATGAATATTTTAGGCACCAGGAGATTCAAGTTTACTTCTCTCTTCTGTGTCGAAGGGAGATTGGTCAGTAGCAGGGGAAGGAAAACCAGATTATGAAATGGGATTTTAGTGTTGGGTATATAGAAGGCTTTCCCCGTATTGTGTCTTCGTTCATAGTTGTATATTTTACTTTAAAATTTCACTCTAGTCATAGTAAGTGGTGATAGTCTGTATTGCTTCAAGATTTAGTACTGAAGAAAAGTGTGCAACTTTACAGCTTTGTTTAGACAGAACATGATCACCCTGAACACCAAGTAAGGTGAACACAAAGGCTACACCTGTAGTGCAGAAACACCTAATTAACCAGTGGTATTCGTGGGAGACAGTAAGTCACATTGGTACCCCACTGTCACAAGAGAGTTCAGATCTAATGTTCCTTGGAATTCAGTATTTGTAGTGGAATTAATTATTTTTGGGATTGAGAAACAGTCTTGCTGTGAACAGTTAAAAAACCAACCAAACAAAAAAAACCAAGCTCCTCTCTCCAAGCTCTGTTAATGCAACTCATTTCTGGCCTGCCACTCCTCCAGCAGTTGTGCTTGTTAACTAGAAGCCATCCTTTACCAGGAGTACAGGTACGCAATTTAGGTGCCAATTCCACTTTGGATTTAGTATTTGAATCTGTTCCACATTTAATCACTGCAGTATTTAAATTTTCTCACAATTAACACTGAGAAGTTGGGCACCTTTCCTACAGCACCGCATTTAGCCAGTCTTCATTCAATTTCTGGAGATCATGGGTAAAATATGTGAAAAATTATATAAGTTGCACTAACAATGAAGATCAGTAGAAGTGATGTGATCTGTAAATAACACATCTCAGGAAAAGACTTCCAGTAGGACCTGCAAGTTATCAAATATGAGAACGTTTCCCCTTTTTAAGGAGCTGAAAGTTAACATGTATACATATTTTAAATACCAGAAATGAGGTAAAAGAGAAGCATTTGAATTATAAGGCACCATTATTTACAACTGCCATTATTGGCACTCACTCCAATAAGCCTTAGAGAAGCATGAATCTGGGATTAAATGCAACGCTAAGGAATTTTTCCAGCCCTTGAACTTTCATTTTTACAGGTGTGTGTGAAGCCACCAAAATTTTACCTGTCACTGCTTCTGTGATGTCTAGGTACTAGTGGGAGTGTAATCCTGAAAACATGTCAGTGCTGTGATGTTCTCCAGCATCATGCCATGGATGACAACACAGGTAGCAAGAACTAAAAGCAAAAATGCACTTTATCCACAGGCCTAATGATTATGTTACGGTTTAACCAACCAGCATAATCAAACTGTTCACCCCACTTTGATGGATGTTTTAAAAACCCCTTCCTTCATCCACAACTCTTAAACACTTACGACGACGCTTTAATAACATCACTTAAGCAGAAACCAGGTGTTCTAGAAATCCTCCAGATTAGACTACATGAACATTGGTCCAACATATCCATTGAAATGCAGTCTCTTATTTTAAGATGTGCAAGTTATCTTCAAGTAGGAAGAAGCACAAGTGAATACAATTATTCTGGTCTTACTCAGGTGTAGAAATGAGTTCACAGATAGGGTACAGCAGTTAGTCGATACCAGTTAACAGTCTCCTTGCTCAAATTGAAGTCCTTCAGTGAGAGCGTAATTCCACCCAAGAAAAAGTTCTCACGTAGCGATTCTGCACTGAGCACACTTAACTGAAGTTCTCTCTGTTTCAGAGTCTCCATGCTATATCCAGGGTACACGAGCTAGAAGGTAAGAAGTCAAGAATTTTTTGGTTATCCAAATAAAGTTACACAGATTGCCCTTTCTTCTGACTGCCTAGCCATGGAGAGATGTCTCAACTGCACATTATGACCATGCAGTATGTCTGTTTCTCAGAGGATGGGTTGAAGTACATCCATATTTTATTTTGTGCTCTCAGTGTTAAGTGTTTAGAAGGACCCATGTTTTTAGATGGAAGTACTATTACATGCAAAGACTTCTGCATTCATTCTTCTCCACATTATGAATCAGTGAATTTGGGGCAGGGGGATCTTTAGTTTTAAGATTCCTCTCCTTCCTCCCCACCATTTTGCAGAGTCAGTCTGAGAAATTTCTGCTTACTTGTAATAGCACATTTACCTACTCAGTTGCTTTGGGGTTTTTGGTGAGTTTGGGTGGCTTGTTTTTTTTTTTATAGAGGGCGCAAAGTTTTTGAAACAAGTTCCTTTTCCATTTCTGTATCTTCACAGATTTTTTAGACAATATTTTAATTACTGCTTAGAATAAGAGCCAACAGCAAACCAGAGGGAGTTACTAGATAAATTTTAACTTGCCATTTCATTGAAAGTTGGATTTCTTGTCTTCCGGGAGATTTTGGTTTTGCGTTTGGATGTTTTATGCGTATCTGGAAGCAAGTATGTTTTTACATAGGGATTTGGATCTGCACCATCTTCGGTAACCTACAATCCAAAACAAGTCAGAAAACTTAGTTAGTGTACTACTAGTGCACACTGTTTGAATATTTATTTTCAAGTATCTAGACTTTGCAAGAAACCTAACCAAAAGCAGCAGTTAAGATGGCATTTGGAAAATTTGGAGGAAGAAAGAGTGATCCACCATTCCTGCATCAACCTAAGTCAAGGAGGTAATTGACAAAACGGAAACAGTTTTTGGCAGTGAGCTCAGTATCTCTACTTACCAGGTCTTTAATGTGCATCACCATGATAAACAGAGTGCTATTTCGATATGATATGGATAGCTTCACTTCTCCTCCCACTTTGCCTGAGGTAGGACTTGATGGACTTGCATCTGAAAAAATATACAATTATTTCCTCTGTAATATTTGTACATTTTCATCTGTACTACAGTGATTAATTATATACGGGGGAAAAATACAAGCCTTAGACCAGCTTCAGTTTCTGATTTTATTTTTAGTTCCCTAATAAGAGGTTAGGTTTGAAAGATTTTTGCATTCTCTTGTAAGAACCAAGTTGGAGGTGTAGAGTAAAAACTTGAATAAATTAGTCAAGCCATAAGTAAGCCCAAGTGATCACATATATCACGTCAATTTTTGGTATGCTTTTATTTCATTGAAACTGTATGCAGACACATTTGTAACGACAGTGATGCAAAGCTGTCAATGAAGGAAAACTACAGTTAACTAAAAAACATTACAAAAAATAATTGCATTGTAAAGGTGTCATGCTGTAGTCACTTATTTATAAACACCCCCCAAAAACCATTACCTACCTGTAGGTCTGGCTATTCCATCTATTCCTTCCACTTTCTCATCACGAAGTAATGGATGGAAAAAAGTATAAACAAGATCACACTAAATTTGGAAGAAATGTTACATATTAGTTTAAGTGTTAACGAGCACCAAAATCTGAAAACTTGCATTGGATTTGCTTAAGTTATTTGAACTCACTTCTGCCACCTCTGAAGAGCTGTTCATCAGACTCTGGATGTAGCTGTTGAGTTCCACTTTTCTTTTAGCTGCTACATCTTTTATATGTGTTCTTCCTAAAACCATCTTGTTAGGAAAGCTACGTGGGAAGAACAAGATAAGAGTTTTCAGTTTCTTTCTCTGAAATACTGTTAGATTTCATTGTCGTTTCCATCCTGAAGTGCTGACATCCATTTTTTTTTAATATTACTCATGAGTGGAAACACAGCACCCTAATAGGTAACAACATTATAGAAAGGCAAGGAAACATGTATAGGTAATTATCAGAAGTTATGTGACAAACACTAAAGACACTGAGTTGCTCCTCTGGCTCTTCTCCTTAAAACTTAGAGAAAACAGTTTTCTCCCTTCATTGCCAACTTTGAGGTCTAGTTTGCCCCTGGGCAGCTCTGTCTCCATTTGAAGCTATTTCTTCCTCCATCCTGCTGGGAGCAGTTTTGCTGCTTCCGTTATAATAGTGATGAGTGAGTTAGGAACATACCCTGGTAACTTCCAAAGAGGAAAGAGAATGCCAAGTTTGTTGTGGAGCTCCTGGAACTCATCAAATGTTCGGAAGACAAATGTTGGCTCAATGTGCCCTTCTCTCAAAACTCTCACTACGTAGATCTGCCCAAAACACACACACAAAAAGATGAAAGTAGTAACAATATTATAGAACGGACTTAACAATATAATTTTCTTAGTAATCGACTCTTTCTGCTATGGTAATCCTTCTCTTGTATACATATCCCAGTAGCAGCATTTGCATTTTACAGTAGTTAGAATTATAAACAGCCCTGCTGAAATGCAAAGTAACACCACATGATCCTCCCATAAGGTAGATCCACCTCTGACACGGGAATGAAGGTAGTTATGGCTAAGCTGTCTGCATTCTCCCTTTTAAGCCTCATTGTAAGTTCATACCATATGCAGGTGTACACAATTAACACATCAGTGCAGGATTACACCTAGATATGTATCTGTGGGGCCAGAACTACCACAAAACTTTTCAAGTGTGGACTATGGAGGAAACTAGTGCCTAATTTTTTTTCAATCTAATTATCTCAAGATGCTAAAGGATTCCACTTTCACAGTGATAATTTAGTGGGCAGATACAAGTGTACTACATTATACAAAAGGAATTTTTAAAAATACAGGAGGTACAGTCCCAGGACGCAGCTATTCATATTATGATGAGAAGGAAATGAAAGTTGAGAAACTGCACAACAAATTCAATTCAGTGGACTAATTTTATGGGCAGATGAGTTAAATGTATATTTAAAAAATGTGCAACTGGCAAGATGTTTAAAAATCTAGTCAGAAGGAGACTACATCATCTTAACAGTTTCCTGGAAGATAAAAGGCTGTTTTGGCTTAGACCAGGAGTGCTCAAGATACATTTTCAATATAGTGGTTCAGTATAAAGCTCTTCTTCACTTCTAATGTCATTCACCTTTGCAAGCTGGTGTCTTACCAGATGAAGACATTTACAGCAAATACAACTTGGAAAGAGACGTACATTTCCATATACAAATATAGGTAACTTTTTAAACAACTTGAGGACAATGTAACTTGAGCTGACTATTCTAGGCCAAACAAAAAACAACATTAGAGAAGTAAAAAAAGAAAAAAGAAATTGAGGATGGTTGCATATCTGCATTGGAATACAAATATCAACACAAGTCTTAAAGTGTAACCCAGGTCTACCAAAATCCCAAGGACAAATTGTAATGCTGCCTCTAGTAAGACTGACTAGGAGAGTAGGTGCATTAATACAGGAAATGACACTTTTACTTAGGAGGAGCAAATACAACTTTAATGGAAGGTCAGAATCAAAACAAAGTGTTTGACTCAATGGCTTCTACTAAGGAAGGAGCCATTTTACAGAAGGCAGCGACATAAGCACATAAATATGACTCAAATCCACATTTTTTAAAAAATCTTCTCCACCAATACTACTTCTGTCCTTTCTGCTTCCTTCTAGACACTTTTCAAGAAGTGTCTTCATTTTGAGGAATACTATTGGATGCTAAAAATACCAGTCTGTACTCCAGCACTGCTGTGGTTGGTTTACCCCGGCCAGCAGCTAAGCACCCACACAGCTGCTTGCTCACTCCCACCCCCTCACCATGGGACAGGGGAGAGAATAAGAGCAAAAGCAAGAAGACGCGTGGGTTGAGATAAAGAGAGCCCTTGGAAGGGGAGGTGACACAATCTCTCACCACCTTCCACAAGCAGACTCATGCCCAGCCAGTCCCCAAGCAACAGCCACCTTGGAAGACAACATCTTCCCACCCTCTGCCTTCTTCCTCTACCCTCTGTTTTGTTGTTTTTTTTTTTTACTGAGCATGACATTACATGCTATGGAGGATCTCTGTCCAGTCTGGGTCAGCTGTCCCTGCTGTGTCCCTTCCCAACTCCTTGCCCACCCACAGCCTGCTCACTGCAGTGGGTGGAAGGGGCAAAGCGTAAGAAAAAGAGAAAGCCTTGACAGTGCACAGGCACCGTTCAGCAACAGCCAAACCAATGGTGTCTTATCAGTACAGTTTTACAGCACCGTGTGGGCTGCTATGAAGAAAGATAACTCCATCCCAGCCAGAGAGAGTACAACTCTGGTCTTCTCCAGGAAGCGAGCAAGCGGGCCCATTCCCATCTAGATTTCAGTTATGGAGTTTGTTTTTACTTTCAAGTCATCCACAGTGGGGCTTAGTTTTGGGTGTCAACATTGGTGCTGGTTTCTAAGCTCCCATTATAGTCAATGTAGCCAGACTTCAGAAAACTCTTCAGCTCATCCTAAATCCAACATTAGTGCCAACTGAACAGTAAGTATTTATAGCTGTATTAGTAAATCTCTGTCAATAAAGGGAACCTAGTTTTCTACCTCAAAGCTGGCTAGTTAAGGCTAAACAAGGCAAATTTTCCCCTAGCCTAATTCTCTGTGATTAAGTACTGAACTTATGGCAAGAAGGAGAATATATCTTGTTGGAAGAAAATGGACAGTATCTTCACTGAGTGGAAACAGATTCCACACACTTACATAGTGTTTATCTGGGTTATATCTTTTCTGGTATGTAAACACAGATGCTTGTTTGATTCGGCCATCTTGTTTTAGAGAATATGTTTTAGCGGAAAATGAGAGGATGGGTTCATCATTAGAAGGTAGACCTGAGAAACGCAGCTGAGCCAAATTGTGAATGAAGAAATTAAACTTTGTGGCAACACTTCCCAGACTGGATTCAATCAACCTAGAAAAGAAAAAAAATAATGTCAAAAAACACAAAAGTGGTTCTGTGAATGAATCAGACTGAAGCTTAAGAAAAATAAAAACAAATTTCTTACTGACAGAGAACAGGTTTTAAACTGTCATCAGTGGGCTATACAAACAGCATCAGATCAGTGACACTATATACAAAGCCCCACTTGCTACACTGGGGCATCATCCCTCCCTCCCTAGAATGCAAAACCACTTCTTGAAAGAGAGAACTTTTGTACATGCATTACAAGGTTCCCATCACATACACTGCTAACTAAGCAATTTAGGATGTATTCAAAATGCAAGCCTCAAAGAGTCAGACAGCCTTATCTACTCTCAGTATTTCAAACAAATTTTTCGCACAAAGTTACTCTGAAAGGCAGCAAAGTATTTCAGCACAAGCATTAGTCTTATAAGAAACTGATCTTATTTATGTAGTTCACCAGCTAACTGATATTTTATGATTGTACAGTGTAACTATTCAACTTCTACAGACATGTTTGTGCACATCCTTAGTACATTTTTTCCTAGCAGAAAGCACCCATTAAGATGATGCTGGGAGATATTTTAGTTTTCACTTATCCAGTACCTTGTAAAGAAAATGGTAGCTTCTGCATCTGTTGTTTGGGACTGGAGAGCATCCTGGACATACTTCAAGTCCTGAACCCCACTTAGTTCTGGTAAGCCAGAAGAAAGCATCTGCAAGAAATTTAAATTTACAGTTTTAATGAAATAAAACCAATATGATTTTACATTGGAATGATTAAAACTCTTAGACACTAAAATTAATTTGAAGATGCACTAAATTGCTAAATGCTAACAGCAATAGCCAACAATCACTTACAATCAGCAACTTTTCACCATTTCTGCTGAACTAAAAACAGTTAAAAACACTTTGCAGTGTAATTTATGATATCATCATTTTAAATTTTCAGCAAAGAGGTAGGTAGTAAAAAAGCTTTAAAAAATTCCAAATACAACCTTGCTAAAAAGCACATCTGATATTTCTGCCTTTTAAAAGCATGCATTAAGAGCTTCTGCAGCATAAAAAGCATAGCATTTAATACAACCCAACATCATAGATCTATCAAGTTTCAATTGATCTTAATAAACTGATTACCAATGAAAGTAGGTTAAGGAAGAGGCTTGCATGTTTTCTTATCAAATTGTAAGCTTGACAACAGAGATCCACAAACAGCTGAAAGCGAATAGTGGGTTTTTCACCACCGTTAATGACATAAGCCATATCCGAAGTTAGCACAAAAGGAGCTCGATCCCTGTTCAAAAAGCACAAAATTCCTAAGTTAATTATAAAGTCTATTCACTTTGTCATGTGCTTCTTCCTCCTCTCCATCACCACCGCAAGGTAATGCTATTAAATAAGCCACTTTTCTATAACATTGACATTCACTACTGTTCTTGTGACCCAGAGTCTGTTCTCATTTGTTTCACCCTCAGATATTCAGATGACAAAGGTTCTGCCACTCAATTTCTCATTCACTGATCAAGTTTACCTAACAAGCATGAAATACAGAATTGCATTCATATAGCTAAAAAGGCATAACTACCAACTAAAAAGGTGTAACCAATATTCCTGGAAAAGTATGACACCAAGATTTGTGTTAGACGTAAGGCTCCCAAATATCAATAAAAAGTTACATTCATCTTTTCCTGTACCAAAATACTTGGCTTTCGTAACTACCGTAAAGAAATTCCCAACCATGTATAGCACAAATTTCTTAAGGAATTAATGCAATTTGGAAGAGTTGAAGTTAAATGATGTTTAGGAGACCAAATTCTTTATTTCAATCTACCAGTAGCTAGAACAGTCATTTTATTTGAAAGCTATGCCTACGTGCTTTGAGTTAAAACAGTTCCAGACATCAGAATATGGGAACAGGAAGCTGGAGCCTTTTCAAAATTAATTCTAGGCAGGTAAGTTTGAATGTGTTCTGGAACCTCTGTGGCTAAATTAGAAGATATTGGCTTCATAATGAGAACAGCAGATAACAGGAATTTAAAGGTTAATGTTTAGAATTATAATGCTTATAAAAATATACTAAAAATAACTTCATTCTCTACATTACTTATCTACAGATCTCTATATTGCTTAGCTACAGAAAATACCTTTTAAAGCTACCAAACATTTGGGCATGACCCAAAAATTTTCCAAAGTCAATGTGAAACATATGCCCTGTGTTTCGAAGCATTATGTTATCATTGTGGCGGTCACAAATTCCCAATACATAAGTAGCTACGCAGCATCCTGCACAGGAGTAAATGAAGTTTTCTGAAGCCTGGGAAGGAGAGAAAAAAGTTAACTGAGATCAAATATCACTGGGAAAACAGCATTCACACATTCAACAGCCAATCTTGACAAAGGTGAAACCCAAGCGAGACAAGACAGGCCCTAAAAATTTGCCTTTTTCCAAAACAGTGGTCTTCAAACAGATAGCTTTGCAAAAGTCTTTAGATATTACACTTTCCAGCAAAAATGGTTGTTCTGTTTTTCAAATAAAAGAGGAGTTGAAGACACACCACAAAAAGAAATAAATACATTAGGTAAAGAAAAGAGTACAAGACTTTTTTCCAATGTGTTGTGTAACAGTCAAAAGAAAACATTGTATTTTTTGAATCCCATGTACTTGTATGAGAAGAGGTCACTGCTCCTAAAACCCAATTAAAAGAGCCATCATTCCCCCCATGTTGAATTTGAAGTGCATTTTTTTCTATATCCAATAAAAACTCCTGATGTGAATCTTGAGAATCCATCTGGGTCCTTTTTAGTTATATAAGGGATTTTAATTCGCTGGATTTCAAGTACAGGAAAAAAAAATTAAGTTTCCTAAAGATATAAAAATTTCAGTGGAAGATGTGGAATTTCATTCTTTCATAAAATGGTATTTATTCCTTTTAAAAAGATCTTCAAATAAGAACAACCCTGAAAAAAGTTACCTTTTCATATTCCTCCTCTGTAGGATTATACTTCCGCAACCACTCTGCCAGAGGCTTGTCTTTAAAAGAACCCGTCACTCCATATTCCACTTGAATTTTCCTAAGCGTATCTGAAGCAGGAACAAGCTCTACCATGCCTTTATGTAAAATATAACAAATTGTATTTAACCATCTCCTGAAGTTATACTGCATTTTCATTATTCAGTAGAAACTTTGACAGCTATGGATTTTATAGTCTTAGACCAGCTTCCTTCAAAATCCAGTTAGGTGTAAAAATAGTGCTATTTATTAATCTACTAAGTGTTTCTGCAGGCCACATGACAAAGAATACCATGAAATCCATGTAGCAATCCAAGTCAGGCTTACTTTACTACAATTAGTCACAGTTGCTAGAATGCACATATAAATTATACCCTGAATAATTACTTTCCACTACATAAACTAGTATTGGTACATAAGCCATAACTGCAAAATATGTTGATGCTCATATACTGACACTAAAGTAATCCAGTAACTTTAACTGCTGTCAAGTGTTGAAACAGAGCAGACCGTTGCTGCAGAAACAAAGCAGTGGGCTTTACATGTGGCCTTATTTTGGAGATCCCATTTACTAAAAACATTTGTATAGCTAAATCATAACAGGAAAACATGTATTTGATTAACAGAATTTTACTTCTATCTTGGCAAGAGCTACTAAAGGCAAATCTGTAATTTAAATCTGTTTTTCTTTTTCACTTTAATCCCTCAAGTACTTTAGGAACGCTAACATTAGCAACAACAAAAAAAAGTAACATGCTGTGCAATCAAGTCATCGTTCAAAGTAGGAAGAAAAGCCATCTGCTTCTCTAAAAAGCAAGTCTTACATAAATAGAAGCTTTTTGCTTAGTTTTGCAAATGTTTCCATGTATTTAAGAGTTTCCATCATGCTGTTCTACCATCTGATTGAAGAAATATTGAAGTTATTGTTTATCCTCTTAAAGATCTTGCAGTTCCTCTTGGCTAGCTCTAGAGAATTAGTGAAAACCATCAAAAAGCATGTTCCAGGTGAGAGAGTTCTGTGACCTAGTTTCAAACCTAAAAGACAGCCTCATATTCTCAAGGAACTTTTACCAGCATATGACACTAATTCTGGGGGACAGTGTGGGTGGGTGTGGGTGTTCTAAATTTTTATTCTTTTTGCACATTTCAGTACATGAATGATACTCCTGACTCAACTGCAGGAGATTCCAAATACTTCAGAATTTCAGTTTGGACTTAAATACTTCCATAACGAAACTTTCAGAATCAGGATTGCTATGGCATCATCATTTTCTTGTGTTGCACTAAGGGCATCAAGAGAAACCTTAGTTTCTATCATTGTATTTACTCGCTTGCACTACTGCTCATTGACAACAGAACACACAAGAATCTCAAGACTCAAGAGAAGAACCACATGTAAATACAACACAGCCATCAGGAAATTGAGAACAATTTAACTTGCAATACTCTTGGGTACTGAATTCCTTGCCTGGAAGGCGTCTGGCCTTCCACTGTTTCTTGGGCTTGCCTCCGCACAGAAATTTGTCACTAACAGTGTGAAATTGTAACAAAATTGAAGTAGGGGAGAAAAGATATGGTTTTGCACCTCGGTCCTTTCCAGTTGAGAGACACTTGAAGATAACCATCCGTAGATCCAGTCCCTCCTGCAGCCAAATCTTATCCATAATCTTTATCATTTGTAAAGCCAACATATCTTGTCTCAGATCTTCTCCGACCTTAAATGGAAAAAAGTTAACTAGAGACATAAAATGCTTTCAGGAAAACTAAGCTTCACACATTAATTGCTTTACATTTCTAGCAAGTGATACATTACACTACTTCTTCATAGCTCCGCACATCACAAGAGCAATAGGCTACATTTAAGCTTTCCATGCAGTAGGCTTACTTCCACATTTTACAACCTGTGCAGACATTCGGTTTCTACACAGAAGCAAACTCACAAAACGACTAAGCTTACTGGTCTACACGAAAGTTAACTGATACCAATGAAATAGTTATTATCATTCAACTTTTTTTCTCCAATACATATGTAAGGCCTACCTTAAACATCACATTAATTTCTTCTCCCAGAGGGTCTGCATTTATCAGTGCAACTTTCAGTGGTACTGCGTTGGAGCTGAAGAAAGAACACGCCTACAAGGACATTTAGTGTTAAAACAGACTATTCCTGCTAGCCCAGAAAACAAGACATTCTGACAACAGGCAGGTCTGACACACAATGTGCCTATTCAGACTTTTAACATGGCAATTGTGGCAAATACGTGCTTCCTTTGAATAAAGAGTGCTTTGGCTCTTATTTGTTGAATTCTTGTACAAAAGCCAATAGTGCTGCACAGCAACGTTTTATACTTTTTGAAGGGAAGAGAGAATAAACCATGGATAAATATTTTATCAGTACCTTTTTTTGAAACCTGTATTTAAAAAAAAAAAAGGTATTTGCACGTTGCACAGTATCTTCTAATTTATCTGCTTTAAAGTACATTATCATGATTTAGTAGGTACAGAAGAAAAGGAAATCAAGAGGAATGGACTCTCCACACAGGATTAAATCCAGTGTTCACAGACCTCCAGGTTCTCAGTCATGCATGATGATATAAATCAAGGTTGTGGTTGAGCAGATATTGTCAAATCTTGCAGAGTTCTGGAAAAATAATTTACTTACTTCTCCTACATTATTACTTGCTGGATGTTCACACTAAAATAAGGCTACTGTCTGCCTCCCTGGCTTCAGTGCATCTCTTGGACACTACCAGTAACAGGTAGTTTCACATATTTCACTGAATCTACTCATTGTTTGAACTTTATAGCCTCGCTCCATTTTCTCTTTTGATTACTACTGCAGACAGGACTTTTTCATGCACTTTGAACAGCCTCCTGCTTTACTATAGCCAGGATTGCTGGGCTCAAAACAGACAGGGTCTGAAGAAATCGTAAGTTACTACAGATATGTTTGGGTTTGGGGCGGGGGGAGTTTGTTTTGTGGTGGTTTTGTTTTAATACAAGTACATTCATTGCTTTTACACAAGTATTTGTATAAATTTTATCTTTGCTCAGCTAATTTCACTGCCTTGCTCAATCAGAATTTTTAATTAAAACCTTCCCTCACAGCATAAAGACCTTTCAAACACCTCAACTGATTTTTTCTATTTGTAAAAGCTTTGCCTGTATGTAATTTTTACAAAAAAGTTTTGAAATTCTGAATGTGCAGTACCTTAATATTTAGCTCTTTTGCCACAAGACTGGGATTGAGAGGCAAACGGCATTTGTTCTTCAAGAAAAATAACTGCACACGCTCCATACCATTTTGCAAGGCAGCCTGCAGATTAAAAAAAAAAAAATTCAGCAACATTTTCCTAACTGGAGCATCTACAGAAAACTTCTGGACAAAGCTACCCTGAAGCCAATGTTGTAACTCCTCAGTGTCAAAGGAATGTTAGAAATTCTAACTGCTGTTTTAGCTATTAAAAATACATAAGCCTAGCAGTACAACACTCATATGATACAAGTTTGTGGGTTTTGCTTTTTTTTTTTTGACTGAACCAGATCATAGCATCCCACTCTGTCAAACTGTAAATTCATATTATTAGCACATAAACAGACATCCCACTCTTTCGCATAATGGGATCATTCTTCAGCAGTAATAGGTTTAAATCCAGTTCCCATTTATTGTACACAGATACCATCCTACTTTTACCCTATCACCTCACACAATCTTATGTTTCCAATGACAACAAATTTGACAAAAACATCAACTTCGTTAACTCATTAACTTGTTAAAATGCAGATAAATAGATTCATAAAACTACTTATACAGCCTTTTGTTGAACTTAGACTAAAAAGGCAATTGAGTGGATTGTTCTGAGGGTCTACTCAATCTAATCTTCCTAATGAATATCAAAAATTTATACACACCTGCCGAGCAGATCCACTTGTTTGCTTTACTTTTTCTGCCACCATTCCAAAAAGCTGCACTAGTCTGGTCTGCTTCTCCAGCTCTTCCCTCAGCCTTTTTCCACAGACTGAAAGAAAAGCTCCAAGAATTTGCTCATACCTTACACCAAACTTCATATCATACAGTGTATCCTTAAGAAGCCTGAAATAAAGGATTTAAGTTAAATTTTCCTAAGGAAAATACTGCAAACAATGCAATACTAAGACATGAAAATATTTTAATGAATCAGTACTACATATATCCAAAGTTACTGATACACAGGATCTAAAAGGTAATAAGTTTGTGCCTATGGAAAAAATAGGACCTACATTTTGTATACTCTCCATTCATAACATTCATTGTTATGATGTATAATATTAAGAAAGAATTTTTTTCTGGAAATATTAATCTTACAGTAAACACATTACGTGAACAATGGACAAAAGAACATCTTACCAATATAGGTAGTGTGCTATTCGAATGCTTCCCAGTGCCCGAGCCAAAAGAAATTTAACAAGAGCACTGTCAAGGTAGGTTTCATACTTCAATGCCTAAATACAAAGAAAATTAAATAAATTGTGTCTGAATTTAATTCTAGATGACTGAGATTAGAAATCATTCTAGATGACTGAGTCTAGAAGACTGAGATTTTATGACTAATGCACACACAGAACCACCACAAATCCATAGGACAGTCACAGAGCAATTATTTACTCAAATTGTTTTCCTACTGTGCATTAAAGTTATTAAGTATAGAGGCATGCAGTTGCACTACTGCTACTAGTAATCAGCAATTCCTTTGGGTTTTCAAGAACAAAAAAAATCAAACTTCAGTGTAGGCAGAAAGTCTTACCTGCACAAATTGAGGAAGAAAATCTGTTAATTCATCATCACTTAACGTCTCTATCCAATTCACAGCTGTATTTCGTACTTCTTGATCAGCAAACCTGGAAAGTCACCACAAATCCACATTAAGTTTATTCTGTTCAAGTAGGATTTTTTTTTCCTTCTTGAAGTCAGCTAGATACAAAAGAACCCATATTAAATCTTTAACAGCTCAACAGAGGACATACCAGTTTGAGGTTGTTCATTACCTAAGATACAAACACATATGCATGTTTAGGACAAGCACACTCATCTCCCAAAACTTCAGCTGTGATAGCTTGGTCGTGTAGCTTGCTCTCCTGTTGCAAACTGGATTTCAGGATCCTAACCACATTTGCTATTCTTTTACTACACAACTCCGTTAAGCCTACATGAATAAAGTTATCATGTATTCTTTAAGACTGTAAGAAAACATAGCTTTTTCGCTAATTCAGCAATATTTTCCACAAGAACGCCATTCAGAATCTTCTACCGAAGAAAAGTCATTTAATGCAAACCATACACACAGAGAACTTATTTACATTGTTTTTCTTACTTTGAATCAAGTAGTTCCAGTGCAGCTAAGGGTGATAAAGGAGGCCACTGCTGAAGTAATGCATATATTTCTGGAAGACTTGCCCAGTCCCAGTGAGGGGCACTAGCCAGTATTTTTGGTAGGCTACTAGGATGACTATGACAATAATGTCTCTTGTCCCACAAAAATTCTTTATCTTCTTTTGATAGCCTGCAGACAAAAGCTTTTCAGTTTATACTGCACATTACAGACCATCACTTGAATAATCCCAATGCTACTGGTCATTGTATACATACAGGTAATGTAACACACAGAATGAAATGCAGGTAAAATGGCTATTTCCTCCCCAAAAGTCAAAGCAAGAAGCAAAATAAAGACTCAAACATTACGGAAACAGTTGTTCAAAGTTATAATTTGGGCAGGACAAAAATAAGTTTTAGCATAATCTGAAATAAAACAAAATGTTAATGTTAGTTTGGTGCAGATTAGTGGAAAAGCCTGCCAGGAAAGCTTTCATGGCATAGGAACAGCCACTGCTGAGACTGCTACTGCTCCCTGGAACTGAAGAACTGCCAAGCAGGAAAAAGCATATACAACAGGCAGTGAAAAGGGCAGCAATATTTTAACAGGAGAATATTACAACACCAGCCATGCAAAGCACAAGTAAATTCATTAAGTCGGCACCATTGTTTTACAAGTTTAATTCAATCTCTTGTTTAAGTCTCTACAGATCTTCAAAATATACTAGAACCATATTAAAGAAATTTAAGAATAAATAAACACTCCATACCCTAGCCACAAATTGTCACATACAAAGAGAGCATAGCTAGAAAGAGATAAACATACCCAATAGTGTTATCCTTTGAGAGAATGGCAAGGAGACGTTCTCTCAATGGTTTTTCTAATGTTTCCATAGCATGATGCACAGTAGTCTTTGCAGCTTGAGGAATTTTATATTCGATATCAAAAGCATGGGATGGGAAGTCAATCTAAAAAAAAAGAAAAAAGGAAGAAAAATGAAAACTCCCCCTTCCAGCAACCTCAGATGTTTAGGCATCTGAACTCTTTAGTCCTACATGGGAACAGTTTTCAGATACTGTTTCCTGATTCTTTTTTTCCATCTCAATTCTTCTACATAACTATGATCCTTAAATGTGTGACAGGTGTATTGTTGCACAATCCAGTATTTGGAGTACTCCTCAGAAGGGAAGTGAGAATGCTTACAGCAGAGAACTATTAAAATCCACAGGAGTAATTTCAACCCAGCCACCAACTCCGACGATGTTTTGGGACTGCTAAGCCATGCCTAATAAGGTGCCTTCTCTTCTGAGAAATTTAGAATTTAGAATGAGAGGTGCTTTTGTTTGGGTCTAGACAACTCCCGTCTCAGCACACACTTCTATAGATTGCTTTCCAAAGACATTCTCTCTCAATACTGATAGCATGTACTACCCAGGAATCTCCAGTTTCTCTTACTTCAAAATAGTGCTTCAGTAACTGACCTGTATACACTTACAGCAACTTCCCATTCTTTGCCCTTAATGATTAGTAATCACAATTCTATACCAGCTTTCAAATATGACTTATGTCCCCAAAACATTAATTGATCTATTACCACTCTTATAAGAATTACAAGTCACAATATTAAACAAAACATAGTCAGATCAAGTCAGAATTATATATAACCTGCAATACTATTCTTTCCATATTTCCTTTCTTACTGGCCATCCCTGATGCAGGATGTGGATGTGAGGAGGTCCAGAGTTGCAAGAGCTTTGTCCCACAAGTTAACAATCTGAGAAAAAAGCACGTGCAGGTGTTAGTGTCACAGTCTGTTTACTTCAACAAAACATTAGTTGTTAAAATACTATTTGGAGAAGATCAATGGTCACTACAAGGAAACAATTCTGAAATATTAGTGTGGAATAGGAGGATAGTTGAAACCAAGTATGTGTTTCTACTGCACAGATAAGAATTTATCTTATGATGATCAAATCAACATTGGTGTTCAGAAAAGAACACAAGAAATCAAACTGTGCTAGCCAATACAGTTCAGAGCTTAAAAAAGGGAATTATGTGTCAAATTGTTTTATTTCTTTCACTGGATGTCTTATATGTGCTTTAAGTCCTTTAAAATGCTGCATACAACTTTTAGGCAGCGGAACAAGTTCAGTGCTGAGCCAGCTAAATCAAGTGCTCCTTTATTTATTAAGGGAGAAAATGAATACTTCTGCCACTGAGGAATACACTGAACACACCCCCTTTTACCCTCTCAGAAATAAGGCATATATAGCTGCCATATACAGGCCGTTCAGTAAACCCCGGCGCAACACATTCTATTGTAGTGCTCTGCATAAACAGAAAATACCATTTTCTCCCCAAACTACTATGAGAACATCATGCAGCATGTAGACAAGATGAATTTGCAATTCAAATCAAAACAAAAGCTGTTTTCAATCAAATACTGGGAAATAAGATATTTAGATGGGAGACTGAAATGCAACATTTAAACAGAAGGCTGAAATAAGTATCATTTATGAGAAAAAAATCCAAATTTCCATGGAAACTGAAAAGCTGCAAGCCATCTTCGCAATGCAGGAAAGCCTGAATTCTTAAGCACCCCCAAGCTGTTGGAATCATCAGCATAAAAAGAGGAAGCTGAACAAGTACAGCCATATCTAGAACCAGAGGACGCAAACCATACGGAACAGACATAAGCAATACATAGAAGTAACTGTCCAGGAAAGACTTGGCTGTCTTTCTGCAGCCTTTGTTGACAATTAGATAATTTAAGCTTCCAGTAAGACCTAGAAGTCAGAAGCATGTACAAATAGGAAACATTAAGCATAAATCCTGAAGGTATTTTGCAATGGTGTGATCATTTCTGCAACATCATGCCTAATTCTGGCATCTGTGGTTCAAGTCTATTGGTTAATGTTTCATTGAATAGCTACCAAAGCGATAAGCACTTGGGAATAGACTTTGTAATGAAAGCTTCAAGGACAAGGCAACTTGAACAAATCCAGGAGCACTTCACTGAGGGAAGTTACAGTAGGTTTTTCATTCTTAGTGAAAAGGGTATAACAGCATCCAGCAGCTGTACTTGAAGGAAGGCCACATTATTCTTTTGACCCACATTACTGTGAAGGTCTCCTGTGAATAAAGCCATTTTCATCCAAACAATATTCAACTTCCTCCAGCAGGTAAGTTTTTTCAGCCAGTTAGATGGAAATACAACAACACAGGACCATGTTTTATACTCTGTTTAAAGGAAGATATTATTTCTTTACCAATATAGTTTACAATTCTTATACTTATCATGGTCTACTACATTCTGTGGCAGAGAAGCAGCTTCTATAGTTAAGGAAGTGTATCAAACTTGAGTTTTAGAGTAAATCATATTAATAATCTTACCCGTATTTTGGATACTTACTGCCTAAAATCAAAAAGAGGTAGAGAAACCTGACCCAAAATTTCTGGGCCCTTTCTCTGCTTATTGGAGTCAGGAGAACTCCCACTATTTTGATTCAGGATTCCAAATAAAGTCAGACATAAGACTGATTCCAAAGGCAGCTGTGAAATCTGGATGGGGAAAATGATCCTGTGAAATAAAAGTATTAAAAATAAGTCAGTCAGATGAAAGACAGTTGTTAGTAAGTTACAGCCTTATCCATAGAAAACACTGATGCCTCTTGCTTTCAAGAAGTTAATTAACACTGAAGAACAACTGTTAAGTTTCCATGCAATTACATTTCACACATCTGCACTGTAGCCAGATTTGGAACAACCCTTTTAAATCTTTGTCTATTAAATCACCTTCCTTACACAGAACTGCACTGTCCAGCGTAACCAGTCTTCCCAGTCTGCTCAGTAGTAGGACACACACAGTTCTACATTAGCTGCCTCCTAATCTCTCAGATTTAAAAATCAACTGGCAATAGTCTCCCATCCAAATGAAAAAATCTATTAAGAACTACTGAAATCTAAATTCAAACGACACAAAACCAGAACCCAAAAAGAAAGCAGCTGATTATACACCTCACTACGCAACTCAAACTCAGATTTTTGTTGACACTGTTTTTTTGCTTAAATAAACCAGAACCCAAAAAGAAAGCAGCTGAGGATTATACACCTCACTACACAACTCAAACTCAAATTTTTGTTGACACTGTTTTTTTGCTTAAAATGTTCTTTAAGTTTGATTTTTCTGTGACACATCAAAGTGTCATTCTAAAAGTTATCACAGTGTATTACTAAGCTACTTACACTATGAAACACTACAACTATATCAACCAGCTTATAAGGAATCTAACATATCTTTCACTGTAATATATGCCACCAAAAGATCTGATAATTAATCCCTTGCATCATCAGAAAAGAAAAGATAGTTTGAGAAGTTTGATTTTTCTGTGACACATCAATGTGTCATTCTAAAAGTTATCACAGTGTATTACTAAGCTACTTACACTATGAAACACTACAACTATATCAACCAGCTTATAAGGAATCTAACATATCTTTCACTGTAATATATGCCACCAAAAGATCTGATAATTAATCCCTTGCATCATCAGAAAAGAAAAGATAGTTTGAGTACTCTCTGAAGGCAGGTATTCTAGAACCGAAAACTCTCATTCCTGGTCTGAAATAATTTGTCACCGTGGACTTTCAGGGTACTACTCAGGGTTTATCTCTGACCTTTAAAAATAGTCAGGAAAATTGTTATAGGGCAACATGGAGCTCACCTGACGCTCCAGCGATAACAGGCTGCCTGATTAACTATTAAGTGGGAAAGAACAAGCTGTGCATAGATAATGAAAAATATTTTCCTCTCTCAGTTATCAAATATCACCCACCATCCTCTCCATATTTCTTCTCTGCATGCCCTTCCTTCTTCCTTTCTACCATCTTCCCCTGGCCCACATAGGGAAACTGAAGTTTAGAAATTGTTACAGGGCAACACGGAGCTCACCTGATGCTCCAGCGGTAACAGGCTGCCTGATAACTATTAAGTGGGAAAGAGCAAGCTGTGCATAGATAATGAAAAATATTTTCCTCTCTCAGTTATCAAATATCACCCACCATCCTCTCCATATTTCTCTGCATGCCCTTCCTTCTTCCTTTCTACCATCTTCCCCTGGCCCACATAGGGAAACTGAAGTTTAGCAGGTAAACCACACATTCTCATATGCTGTAGACACATACTCTTAAGCACTTATGTATCCGCTCTCTTCATAGAAATAATCCTAAATTCAATTTTTAAATTCAGATACAAAGTTGTTACAGTGTATTTGGAACAAAAAAACTATTCAGCATTAATGTTAGTAAAAGCAAGTTCTTCTACTCCCCATGTACATAATTTGAGCACTGCTTATAAGCAAGCTTTATTCATCCTTTAAGCAGCACAAGCTGTTCCCATTACATGGAATGCTATGACCTTCCCAACTCCTTATAACTGTATACTACAAACACATTAGCACAGGGCACTTGTCCAGCATTTCCATTCTCACTTTTAAAATGAGTAGTGAAATACAGTTTAGAAAAATATTTCTAATTTTGGTCAATAAGTCTCACACATTGTTCTTTCAGGACTTCAAATGGAATCAGAAGCAAGAGTTGCTTAAATGACTGTGTTCAGCAGCTAGCTAGGTAGGTACTAGCTAAAACAAAATAATGAGTTTTAATGTGCCAAAGTCACTTACAGTTCATCCCATTTAATCAAGTAGAAGAAGTTCTTGTATGTGCCAACCTTCTTGGACTGAATAGGTTTAAACAGATCTTTTCCATTATGGGTCAGAGAACAAATCAAGTAGTACTTTTCATAACTGGACAAGGAAAAGAAAGTATGTTAAACAACAATAAAAAAAAATCTATAAAAGGAAGACTTTTACAATCAGTAAGTTACTCACTTTGATACCCAACCAGGAGAAATTCCATGAGCAGCAAATATTGTGAACTGGAGATGTTCTGTGGCAGTCCGTGCTTCCTTGGTACTCTTGCTATCTTTTGGAGAAGTTGCTGCAGAGCTGCTACATGAATTCATGTGGAGTTGCAGGAGAGCCTCAACTGCTCTTGTTAACTGCTCTATACTCACTTTCACAGGGTTTTCAGGCTGCAGTGAACCTAAATTATAATTTATCCTTAATGTATATCTTCCTAAAACAGCTATCTGGAAGCAGTTTTTAAATAAAATTGAAAAACTTTACTCACCAGATGAGCTCTTGCTAGTGTCATCGCCATTTTTTAAGGATACCTACACAGGAAAGTTAGAGCAAATTTCAATACCAATAAATCCATTAATTCTCCATTGCTCTGAAGTATCTTGTACAGAAATTATGCAACATCTGAGTTGGGCCCATATTTGCCTTTATGTAACACATCTTTTTACTCGAAGTTCTTCAAGAGTTAATTGACAGTATCACAATTGCCATATCACGCACCACCTATTCATCAACTTCAAAAGCTCAGGTTTTGTCAAGTCACAACTATTTTGATAGGCTTTATGAACTCCTAAAAGGCACGATAGATTGGAATATTACTCAGGATACTATAACTTCTGAGTAGAGATAACACTTGGTCGGGGCTGTTATGGATGAAAGCAGAAGCTGTTAGCTCTATTACACAATAATTTAAGTCTGAACAGCTGTTTTGTTCGTGGCATTTGTTAAGGTATCTTGCAGAGTTACTATAAATTTACTGAATAAAATAACGTTAACTGAGAAAAATGAAAGTACTGTCACTTCGTACTATCTGCTGAGTTTGCTTCTTGGTCTGCTCAAATGGAAGTCTAAACATGATACAGTATTACAGCAATGTCTAGTCTCAACAAGCACACTGTTGTAACCAACAGGTGACAAACAAATCATGGGAATTTACTCCCTTCTCATAAGAAAGGCTTTCATGCCATATTCAACTTCTGATAAAACTCGGACTTTTAAAGAAAACTGTCTGTGATTTAAAAACAAACCCCAGTATATTCCTAATACCAAAGAGAAAGTCTAAGAAGTTTGCCACAACTGCTGCAGAACAATGAAAACTCTGCTTACACTTGTAGTGTATTAATTGAGCATCTTGTCAACATTCAAGTTTTAACTACAAAAAACCCCTTCACATTCTTATAAAAAAACATGCAGAAACTTAGGGGGAAAAATAAAATAAAAAAATCACACACTTTTCCCCTTTCAGGAAAACAGACGTCTCCACCCTACTTGTCAAGTAGTCCAAGTACTTTGGATAACAGCATGCCAAACTGTTGGAACAGCACTATACAGGTAATTCTCTGCTTAGCAATCTACTGTTTTCTTATAGTTCTTGGCCACTTCTCCCAACCACAAAACAATTACTTCAAAATAAATAAATAAAAATCAACCAATAACTTACATAAGGTTTAGATGCAACCAGCTCCAGACTTCACACCAATTTAATTTCTGAAATCAATTCTATATGCCATCATATACATTGCCATTTAAGCCGATGTGCATCACCAGAGAATTGTAGGGCTTTACTGATAAAGAAGTACCTTATTCAAATTCTAGTGGGATAGCATTATTTTTGAAAGTTATTTTTACACTGTAATCTAATTAGGTCTACAGTTTTCTCCTATCAAAAAACAAATACTGAAGAAATATTTGATACACTGTACTTCACCAAGTTTTCTTCAAATGTCTTCTGCATTTCCCTGCAAGAATTTTAGTTCTTGTAACAACTATACTTATTTGGTCTGTGCATTTTGCAAGACTTCTGCTCAGTATTACAAATATATCACTGAACTGATGAAGCCAAAAGTTAATAGAAAGTCACATGAATTGCCACTCTAGTAAGGCAGCAGGACAACAGAAATAGCATTACAAGACTATTTAACTTTTTTATCTGCACACTTCTCCATTTAATGACTGTTTTTGACAACATGACTGGAGACTAATTTTGTTCATTGTAAGGCAGTTTTATCATCAAAATCTGTGCCATTTGAGAGATTTTACTTTTGTCCACATGCTCAGGAATGCAAGAGCATGAACTGTTAGAGTTTTAAGATGCTATTGCCATTCACATAAATACTGCACAGAAAATACAGGATGTGAATTCCTCCTTTAATCATAACTGCACCGACTTTAGAGGGCATGAGTTAGCTGTCAGTTCCCTCAGTCAGATTTAGTAGCATCTGCTGTGACACAGGTCTGTAGTTACAGAACCAGAAAACAGTATTTAAAAACTAAGTTTTAAAAAGTCACTATTTAAAACAGGGAAGGATTCCAAGAGCAAATGATTAATGCATTAACAGCAAAGCGATATTAATATAAATGGAACCTATCAGGTAACATAAAAAAAATACCAAACAACATAACACTGATTGAACTGTTGCTGGTATTGGCAAGGATCAAAGAGTGCGAAATGTTTTTTTATCAGAGTTAAAAACCATACCTCAGAATGCAATTTATAATGTGAAAGTTTACCTCGGCATTTTTAGTCCTTGGAAGATTAACAGCCCTCCTCAGCTTCTTTACTGATTCTGTTATTGCAGGAGTCTCTACACAATCCAATGTAGAACAGATTTTTCTGACAGTCTTAATTATGTGATCTACTGCTTTATGCTGGTTCTAATAAGGAATGTATGAGAGAAGAGATTGATCTGATCACAATTGTGAAACCCAGTATTGCTTTAATTTTTTTTTAAAGAATTGCCAAGAAAATTTCATTATGTGATGCATATTTCAATAACATTAAACTGTGGTAGAAATTTGATTAAACAAAAACCTCAGTATTGAGAACTAGCTCAGTTATCAATGCCAAAAACATGGAGTAGTATGGAGTCTATAATGGTGTCGCAGAAAACATTAGGAGGTTTCCAATCAATCTTCTATAAGCTGTGAGCAGACATATTTTCTATGAGATATTAAGCTCAAATTCCCTCATGGTATTAAAAAAAGAGTAGTTGAAAAAAGGCCATTCAATTAGTGTGAGGAAGGAATGCTAAAGCAAGTGTTTCCATTTCAGCCCTCTTAAAACAAACATATAGGTTCAAATTACACTCACACTATGGTATAGCTTCCATAATAGAACTTTATATTTTTAACTTCACTTTAACATACTTTTGAAAAAAGTTTGTTGCAACTTTTGCCTTAAATATTATTTAATATAAATGGTTCTTCCAGTTGAAGGAATTGCAAACTGCCATCTTGGAGAAAGAAAGGAAGGGGGGCTGCATGCTTAACAGGAATCTTTTTTCAGAGGAATAGATCAGCTTCTTATCAAATAATGAAAACGCTGATAAGCTGCTTAAGACAAAGTTAAGATGCTCCTAATATTCCTTTCCTTCTTCTCTTCAAATACAAAAAAAGCCACTTAAATCTAAATTATCCTAGGCTTCTTGGGTTTTGTTTTTTTAATATAACCAAAGTCTTTTTAACTGTATACTTTTTAAAGGCTTAATGCACAGGTTTCTTTCAGAATCACTTATGAGCACTTACAACTAAATAAGAAGGATTAGTGCAATATCTTCTTGGTAAGATATAAACCGATTCCCAACCCTCACCCACCCCCTGACATATTCTCATGACCTTCCTACAAATGGATACCAAAGAAGCCATTTGAATGCAAAAGTTAGATTGTGAACTACCTGGCAACAATTAACTTCATCCTCGTAAGAAAATAACTATAGAAGCCAGAGGATTGTGAACTGCCTGGCAACAATTAACTTCACCCTCGTAAGAAAATAACTATAGAAGCCAGAAGATATTGTAAATATTTAAGCCATACTTTCACAGCTAACACTTTGAAGGTAACAGCTGTTTTGACACATGAAAAGCAAAATCTCCCCTGCTGTTTTCCTCACAGGCTCTCAAATTAATTTTGATAAAAAGACAATACATAAAAAACTGTCCAACGATGTGAAAACAAAGGCTATGTACAGGTTATTTATGGATTACTTTACCCTGTTTCACTTTGATTAGCAAGCTTCAGCTACTGAATATGCACAGGAATACAGGAAGTAAAAACTTTCAAATGCAACAACTGCTGATATATGGACCTAATCATCATCACCTACAAGCTACATCTCCCATCCTCAAGAAGACTGTAGAAAGAGTAGAACATAAGTCTGAGCCGAGATGTTTTGCATTCCTCACCTCAGCCTGTGAAATCACAGTTAAACAAGCAAGCTGAAGCAGCTGCAAGAGCACAGCAACAAAAACACCACCGTATGAAGAAGCGGTAATATCTCACTATTCTACAAAAGGATTGTGTTCAAAACCACCCTTGAGAACGTGGTGAATCACCACCAAGGGAATCAAATAACATTAAGGGACTATGTAAATAGTGGACATCAGCTTTTTCAGACCTGCATTCCTGGAGAGGCAAACAAATGTAGTGGAAAAGTGTTGTAACTAAGTAATCCATTTCAAGACTGCTTAAGAAACAGTTACCTACTGTTTAAGAATTTAAGTCTCCAAGTTGCATTACTATCAGGAGTTAAACTAAGCTTCTCCTTTCAGAAATGAGTAAAGCAGGTGATCTTCAGCTAGCTTTTGCATTTGTGAAATCACTCCAAACTACTTCACATGGAAGCTGTTTTAAGCTACCTATCGTACACCAAAATGGCTTTGAGAGTGTATTGTAAATTAATCCAATAGTGCAGAATAAGATGTTATTACACTTCGTGTAAAACTTACTTGTATGTTCTGAGCATGCTTCAGTTATAACTCCTATTGTACACAACAGTTACTGCTCACTTTTGTGTAGATTTTTATGTTATTCACAGCTGACAACAACTGACATAGTCAGGATTCAGACTTTTTCCTTATCCCCCTAAACTAATCTCTTCCAGCATTTTTTTGAGGAAAAGGTTATTTTGCACCCCAGGACTTGGAAGATACATTTCTAGTTGTGAAGATCAGATAACAATTAGTTGTCAAGAAAAGCTAGGAAGAAAGGCAATCTAAAAATCCACAAGCCCAAATTTACATTTGACAGCTTGTTCAGATCTCAGTTTCCCCAAGAATACCTGCAAGTCTTTTTTCCAACTACTGCATTAGTAAAGTTCAGCAATAATTTACAATGACCTTACCTCATTTTTAAGAGCTATGTGAACTTGCTTGTGATACACATCAAGAAGCTCTTCAATGGAAGACCTGCAAGAAATAGCAGTTATTGAATACAAATGCAATAGTATAACATACCCTTGGTCAGAAATTCAGCAGTGGGATTAATTACTAAGATAACCACAAAACATTACCTTATAATAGGTTCTCTGAAAGGCTTTTCTACTTTGTAGAGGTGTTTGGTTAGATGTATGGGTGTTCTGTCATCATCTTCCTGCAATAAAGTATTAGACATTAAGTCCAGTTCTCACCTTCCTATAATTTGTAATATTGTTTTAGAATTTTCATTACTAATACCTGTGAAGTAGAAGGGGAAAGATACAAGGCGATCTCTTCAAAGGGGAAAAGAACTAATTAACGGTAGCCTATGAAAGGTGTACACATTGGGACAGGGGGAAGAGGGAAGAAAGAGCAATTAAGTGCCTAACTATGCAGATACCAGATATTCCTCCCTTCCTCTTTGATGGCCTGGTACATATCTACTAAACTTGGAAGCTGTTGTTAACTTTTATTTAACTCTGAAATTAGCTGCTTCTCTTTCAGTCCTCAAGTTTAGTCCAATGCTTGCATATTTTTTCCAGCTATAGCACTTGGTCTAATAAGAAAGATTACCCATATGATTTGCCTTGTGAAAATTCAGTATGTATTTCATTTCCTCTTAGTATAAGAGAATATAATTCCCAACACCCAGCAGACATCCCAATTCATTAATCACACAAAAAGGTTATACCTCAAATCCACCAACTCTGATGCAAGCCCCCAGCCTCTTGAAGATTTACATTGCTGCTGCAGTTTAGGAGGTACTTACTGTTCGGGCCAGATCTCTGCATATTACACTATGGGTCAAGAGCTGCAGTTTGATTTCAGTATCCCACTTCCGACAGTTCTGAATATATTCATGACTTCCTATGCAGTGTTTACTGTTAAACAAAAGAAAGCTATAGTTACACCAAAAATATGCAGTGTTTTTAAAAAAAACTCACATGGAATATTTAAGGCAACCTGTTGGCTCAAAATAAAGACATAGTGAATCAACCTCCACAGCGTACTTCTTGATCTGACTTTTACTACAGATAACTATACTTTTGTTAAAACTCTTAACTACTGTGGCTAACATTGAAACCAAATTTGTAACCCAGAAGACTAACGAGGATTTGTGAAACATTAGTTTTGGGGGAAAAAAAAAAACCCAGATAATTTCAGATCACTAGAGATCATCAGTAGATTTTTTTTTCCCTGGTTGCTGGGATTTGAAGAGCAGCTGAAAACTACAACATCCATCTACAGAAATGCTCTAAAAATCTGAATCTGAAAAAAAACTGTGTTCAACACAACAGATGGCAGATTAGAACAGTTCTCTAGGAAGCTGCTGAGAACCTACTTTGCTGTATCCCAGAGCAACTCCTGATCTTTGTGCGAAACGTGACTCTATGTTTTTAAGAATCCTGCTTTCACATATTTAATCATTAAAGATATACTTGCCAGCAACCGTGCCATGAAAAATCATGAAGTTAAATATTAACGAAAAAGAGTGTGCTTACTTCTGTAAAACTTCTTCTTGGCCACAGACTTTCAGGATATAGCTGCTAATGTCCACTTCATTCAAGTCATCATGCACCCAGCAAAGTGCCTGCATTATTATAAGCTCAACAGGGGAACTCACTGTTTAAAAAAATTACATCTAAAAGTTAAATATAAATCTATAGCAAGTGATATTAACCATTGTTCACTCAAACTGTAGTTATTTAATGAAATCTATTTTTATACTTGTAAGGAAGACTTATGTTTCCTTAATCTCCTAAATTTCATCATTTGAGATCTTCACTTTTTTTCCGCAAAAAAGACATCTTATAAAACCTGTCTGTAGTTTAAGAAATCAATAAATCCTTTTAAAATTAGGATACAGTATAGTCACTTGAACAAAAGGACAAAAATAGTGTACAATCTGTTTTCCAGTTTTTGAGGATAGTAATTTTTTTTTTTAATTATGAAATTGCCTTATTTAGCAAGGACTTCAAATAGGTAAGTGAACCCAGAGCTGCTTAAAGTTTAAAAATCATTATCTGAAGAGTTGGAACTTCTCTACTTGTTCTGCCTTTGAGGAAGCAAGTGTCAGCTACAGCAGAGGCAAATCCTGCTGAATTTTTTTATTTTTCCTTTCATTTGTCTAGGGCAGTTTTCACATTGTACAGATCGGATCTTGGTAAGCATCACCAAGCCTTTGCAAATAGGCTCCAAATGCTTTTTTGAAAAGTCTTTCTCCTCCACTCAGCAACTACAGAGCAAAAGAAATAATCCCAGTCAAACCCAGAAACCATTCCCGTACAGCCACAGCCACCAGCTGTCACTGGCTGTACCAAATGTTTTCTACATCTCCCTCCCTAGTTTGTGATCTTCTCTAAATCATTTGCAAACAATATGACTAAGTGCTTCAAAAATCTGCAAAACACACCATATAAAAGCATTTTATTTTGTCATCACTACCTCAAGAGTGGTTTTTTTTCCCCCTCCAGGGACTTTCTTAATTTTTCTGAATCTTCTTTTTCTTAAGAAATGTTACTACAATGGTGGATAGAGAGAGGTAATACCACAAGAATATTTTCCACAAGATAATGCAAATGCTTCATTTCATTCACAGATGACTAATTATTACAGGCACAGAGGTATTTGATAGCATAGGAAGAATGAGCATATCGAATTCAAGAACAAGGAATGATGTGAAGTCTGAATTCGGAAACCCTATTTACCTCATTATTAAGGCTATTTAGCTTATTATTAACCTAGAGTGAGCCTGCTGCACTACCATTAACAGAGAATATGGCGGTTGATATAGGAAAAAAAAGATTCAGGAATGGTTCATGGGCTATAGTCACAAGCTGAATTGGTGAAGGTCTGCCAGTCCTGCAAAGCCTAGCGGAGCAATGCAAAGATAATGTTAGCACCTTCCCCCCACCCTACATCTTAGTGAGAGACATTTATTCTTTCTGACACACAATGATGGCTCAGGTAGACTTGTAATTCCACATAAAGTCTAATATGTTAGCAACTTCCCCCCACCCTAGTGAGACATTTATTCTTTCTGACACACAATGATGGCTCTATGTGGAATTACAAGTCTACCTAAGTCTAATAAACCAATGAAAAAAGTGGGGTATACCCAAACAAGCTCTAAAGTTCATCTGATTCCCTCCTGGGTCCTTTCTGCACAGCGAGTCATCAGAACACTGAAAGGCTGCCATTAGGTAGACTTGTAATTCCACATAAAGTCTAATAAACCAATGCAAAAATGAACAGATATACCCAAACAAGCTCTGAAGTTCATCTGATTACCTCCTGGGTCCTTTCTGCACAGGGAGTCATCAGAACACTGAAAGGCTGCCATTCCTTCTGAGCAGGACTGAAAGCTACACTAGAGTAGTTCTAGCATTAGGATGCTAAGGTATGCAGCAATTTAACCAAGAACAGAAGGAATTAAAGGAAGAGAAGAATTTAAATACACCTATTACTAGTCACAGTACGAGCTACAGATACCTATCTTTCACTAGCTATGGAAGATAAGTAGTTCAACAGTGATTAGTTTCGGCATCAGAAAAAAAGGAATCGAGCAGAAAGCACAAAGAATAAGATACACGGGGCTAGAATGCAAAACACATTCCAAGGTATTCACAAAACTTCTAGAAATAAAGGGCTGAAGCCACAACGCTTTAGTTACACTACTAAAGCCTTTTGCAGGAAAGGATTAAGCCCGTAATATTAGGAAAGGGTAATTTTAAGGATGAAGAATAGAAACCCTTCCTAGGCTACATTTACAGTCCACCTCATTTCTTAACAAGAGAGTATTAAATCACAGCAGAGTAACTATAAGGCCCAGCAAATTAATATAGAATGAAAATACTTCTGCATTGAGAGCTTGTTTTCCAATAGAGCAACTTCTTCTCTTCTGAGAACAACCAACTCTAATGCATCTACGTTGTTCCAGATATATGATTAAGAAAATGATGTAAAAAAGCACCACAGCACAGATCCACTAGCAGATGACGCAGTCTGGGAATGGGAACCCTCACAAGGACTAAGAGACTACAGCACTATACAGGCTAAAAAGTAAGTTGCTGAGTTATTTTATGAACAAGAACTGCCAGACATTGACAGCATTCAGAGTTACAGCCATTAATACAAACATGCTGTGCGGACTGGACTACAGAGAATATATTATGCACAAGAACAAGGTAAATCTAAAAGTTACACCCCAAACTAATACTCCTGGTTACTCAAAAAAGCAGGCCAGCTAGTTTTGGCACATCAAGACAGTATTAGCTTAGTGTTTGTGTTCATAAGCATATATAGAAGTATTACATAATTTCAGTATTTATTCCTATTTCCTAACAGCAATTTGTTTGAATTTTTAAAGAACCTGGAAGACTTTAAACACAGGTTAAAATGTCAAAATTAAAAAATTAAATTAAAAGATAAGAATCTCAGTCCTAGTGTCGTTGCCCCCTCAATTACCATAAAGTAGGTCGAATTCTTGAAAAACTGTTTTAACATTCCCAGCTGCACATACAATAGCACTTCTGGCTTGCTTGGCTTTCCTTTTTTAGAAAAAAATTCACTTTGTCAGCTTCTAAATATTTTCTGATGGAGGCACTGACCCAATATTAGGTTTTTTCTTCGTTACCTTGTCCACATTCCCCACAAGCAATCGATGCACCTGAGACCCAGGGACTGCAAAAACTGAAAGCCATTAGCCTAGACTGAGTGTACAGCCGTAACCCACCATTCTAAGTCTTACAAGCAAACTCCAATTTAAAAAGCAGAAACATACCATCACATGTAAAAGTTACTGGTTGCTGGAATTCTTCGATTTCTATAGAAACCTTGATACTGGCACTCTCCCCACTTATATTTCTTTGCAGCATGACTGGACTCAGCACAAAGCCTGGATTTGTTTGCTGATTAGTATAAGGAAACTTGGTCCTCAATCTGAAAGTAGAGAAGGATTATGAAACATTGCAATGGATAAGTCTAAGACTAAAGCAAAATAACATTGTAATAACCGCAAGCCACAACAGTAAAGACTACCTTTTGCTCTTTACCTAAATTGTATGTACAAAACACCATTTAATTTTTCTACTCTCAACAGAACACTGTCCACAATAATTATATAAGCAGTACTTAGTGGGGGGAAAACCTAGCTTATAATTAGGCAGGTTTTCCATGTAGCTTAAAATAAATAGGTCAATGCTTACAGGACATAGCCAGCTTCTGTACAAGCTAAACTCTAAAACAGTTTTTAAAAAGGCTAATCCATGGCATTTGCTAAAAATATTAAAAAAGGGTAATTTGTTTTATGTACAAAACACCACAAAACTTTGCACATGTTTTAATTTTTGGAAGTCTAATCTGATACTATGCAGAAGGCAGTTATTGCAAGTTGTAGAAACTGAGAAAGAGGCCTAAATGAAGGGAAAGGCTTTTCTTCAGGACAAACAGTATAAACATCCACTTGGTAATGAATGGACAGTACTGTGATAACTGCTTTTTATTTTCTGCTACTTAACATAGATAAAATAGTTTAACCTTAATCGTCTGCTAACATTAAAGTAATATTATAGATTAAGATGATAACTCATCTATAATGGTTACTTATTTCATCATCTTGATTCCCGACAATAGCACAAATGGGGGAAAAAATAAAGGAAACCCTCTAGCAAGAGTTGTCCAAAGTCCATCAGCATTTTAAGCACTGGGTCTTGAAAGAAAGGGCAACAATTAGATTTGACTAGAAACTGTTGCAACAAGCCTATTTTACGTGAGCTTTGTCTCAACGTTGTTCATCACTAAGTTTCACAGATATACAACTCTTCATTGTTTTTATGGAGTTTGTTTTATATTTCATAAATGTTCCTGTTTAAAAAAGTATCTGTTATCCTTCAAAGATCCCTATTTCCCCCATTATTTCTTGGATTTTGATCTTGAGAGGAAAAAAGGGAAGACTTAGTTTGTCTTCTCTAGGAAAAAAGCATTAAAAATATCTAATTAAATTGTGACAGTAAGCAAAAAACCAGAAGGAGCATTCTAGGCTATCAACTCCCATCTTCTTTGGTATCACCTTTAAGAAACTTCACCACCTGATGAAAGCAGGAACAACTTTGAAGGTTTTATTTGTTACAGAATTCCAGTTGTGGAAGCAACAAAAATTAGAGCATTTAAGGGTTAGAAAGCCACTGAGCGACAGATTTAGTTAGGTGCATCAACTAAGAAATAAAGACTCCAAATTATGTCAAAAGAAACTGTATTAAAAAAATAGAGAAACCAAGGAGACACAGATATATGGAGACACAGAAAAACAGTTTGAGGACAAAAAAGTATTACAAAAACAAGGAAAAAAGTGACAGGAAAGTCACAGGGCCAAAAGAATAAAGAGAAGATACGATAATCCAAAAGCCTTAGTAATGAACACCTTAACAATCCTGTTGCAGTCTTGAAAAAAAACAAGACAAAACCAGGAAAAACTGGGATAAGAAAACGGTAAAGGACTCATACTGAAATCTGCCCCATAAGCAAAAAGTATAGGACTAGCCCTGTCAACCTAACTGAAAATGAGTTATTTAGGTTTTTTTTTTCCTTCTGAAAGCTAATTTGTGTTCAGTAATTTCTTACTTCGTAACTGCTTGAGAAAAAGCTGACAGTTCTTGATTCTGCCCTTCAATTTCTTGGAGAAGCACGTTTTCTGTCAGCATGCCAGTGGTCCCATTGTCTTTCTGCAACTCAAAGATAACACAATATTTAAACAGCTGCAAACATATTCCTATAGCCAGCAAAGCCATGTGTAGATGATAGCTTTTCAGGAGTCTGAAGTTTACTGTTAGTTTTACGTCTACTTCTATAAGGAGAAAAATGTATACCATCACTAAGTGGAAAAGTAAAGATTCACTGGACCAGTGACACCTTTAGAGACGGTAATTGATTTGACAGCATCATTACTTGTCAAGATTAAGTTGCAAGCACAACAGATCCTGAGCTCTCAGCAGTGACCTGTTGCATCATTTGTCAAGATTAAGTTGCAAGCACAACTGAGCTCTCAGCAGTGACCTGTTGCATCAGAATTTGGCTAGGTTTTGCTAAACCAGAGAAGGAAGACACACAAATGTTTTTTCCTCCACTTCTGCGATTCAGCCTTCAGTATAGTCCCAGAAAGAGCAATTACACATCAGTTCTGCCCAGGATTACTTTTTCCTCCTTTGGAGGAAAAGACAAATTGTACACTGGAAGGAAGGAAGTAGCATTCAGAACACTCAACTCAGAAAAAATCTCATGGTATCAACATCACTGCTGTTTTAATCCCTTATGCCATATGCACTCATCAGCTCCCAAAAATGTAAACCACAGTCTTTGAAGTATTCAACCTAAAAAACAATTGCTAAGAGAATGCACTTTTAAACAACAAACATGCCATATGCACTCAACAGCTTCCAAAAATGTAAACCGCAGTCTTTGAAGTATCCAACCTAAAAAAACACCTGCTAAGAGAATGCACTTTTAAACAACAAAATCCAATAAAATTAGAAAAAAACCCAAACAACCCACAAACAAAAACCTGGAGCAGTTTTTAATCCCAATCTGTTTCTGATCCAATTCACCATACAGCCATACGAGTGCTAGCGTAAGCAAAAAGCAGAGAGCAGCCGAACAACCAGCAGGGTTGAGGTGGAACTCAATTATCTGCAGGCTAACAGCCACCACCAGCCTGAAGCACTCATGAAACTTCAGCCAAATATTCCCTGGAATAAGTTGATCTTAAAAAGTTTGCTCATGTCCAACCTAGGACCATTGCACACAAAGGATAAAGCCTTCTGACCAGATACATTTTACATCCAGAGCTTTTTCAATGCTTATAGAATGCTTTAATCCACCCAGAAGTCCAGAAAAAAAAGCAGACTGCACTATAGATTTTTCTGAAAATCACGACTTATTCATAATTGAAATAGTGAATAACTATTTAACTAGTATGTGGGTTATTTATTATTAGCTGAGCATCTAATTTCATTAGAGCACATCAGACAATATAGTCAAATTAGACTGTCTCAGAAAAGGGGTCAAATCTGTAACATGAAGAGCTAGGGACTCTCAGGTCTTTTAGCACTTTTTTTTTCTGCTCAAATTAACTTGTTTAAGCAGTATAGCATAAACTTAGAAGGGCTAATACACACAACCTGTAAATGCCACTTGAACTGCATTTAAACCTAGTTATTGCAGCTAAAATATTGGTTTCATGAACACCAATCTGTTCAAGAGGATAAATTCTATATAACTGGGGATTAGCCATACCATGGGAAGCACTTAGTGCCGGAAGCCGTAAATCACAAAACCTGGAATAAGATTCTTCCACTCCAACAGCTCAGACAAGTCCTATCACATAAAAATCCTTCTGGGCAACTGCACAAGACCCGCTGATAAATCTGTGCAATTGTATCTAGCACACATATTCTTTAAACAATTACACAATAACAAAACAAACAAACAAAAAAATCATAGAAGGAAAAAGGAAGTTAACATACCAAGTGAAAGGTAAACAGTTTTGACAAAGATTTGACTAGCTGCTGGTCAGCACTTAAAGCAAAACTCAGTGATTTAAAATCAAGAAGCTGGCTATGCAAATGTTAAGTTTTCTCTATTTAAGAGCTATTTTTAAAGTCGTTTAGTAATACAACTAAGTACCCAACTCTGACCAGAGTACACAAGCACTACACAAGGGGATTACTTAAAATAAAGTCACACCAGTGATTCCACATTGTCTCTTTATCCCACTATGTGACACTTTTGAATTATTTACAGCAAAATTTGCAGGTTATGCTGCTGTTAAATTCAAAGAAGTTTAGGGAACTATAAGGGACAGCTACCCATGGTAAATAATAAATTCTAATGTAATGAGCAAAGGAAAAAAAAAAAAGGTTTATTTGGTTACCCACAGCTGACCTCAGGGTCACATTTGGCAAAGGAGAGAAATCCAATGTTATTACAAATCTGTATTGCTGGAAACTACCTCCTGGTGGAAAATTAAGAACATTAGATACCATCTTGCTTTTGCAGTTGAATTTCAACACTAATTTTTGATTACTTTTTCAAAGATAATTTCACAAGGACAAACTTGGAGAAAGTAAGAAATCTATTTAAAATCCACTGGACTCAGATGGTTGGGGTTTTGATTTTAATTTCTTTAATTTAGGATTTTAATTTCTTTAATTTACAGATGAAGAAATTTCACAGGTGAAAAAGCTATCATTCAAACAGGAAATAACTTGTAAGAAAGGACTTCAGGCCAAACCAGATAAATTGTTGATATCAGCCCAGCCTGCAAAACAGAAGTGGTCTGCAATTACAACTACTCTTAACAATAAAAAACAAACCCAAAACCCGGTAAAGTACCAAAAGTCAAGTTAAATTAAATTCCACAACTATATAGAGCCACAAAACTCTTCAGCTCTGTCAAGAGCAAAAGGTAGAGAAGACAACCCCTGAAATAGGACAAAATGATGATTTTGCCTCTGCTTTCAGAAAGGAGAGTGACAAACA